CCCACCTACTTGTTCCGCGCTTGCATTTTGCGCATCGACCCCTTTGATAAACAAGACTCATCTGTAAAACCTTCGACCCTGACAGCCACAAATCTCTTCTCCATGGCATAGGAAACTTCTCTGACACTCAAAGAAACACCCCTATACAGAATAATGTTTACGTATCTCACCTACCTTGTCACCATCTATTGGGTAGTAGGACTGGTCCATGTGCCAGGGTGTGACTTTGTACGTCCCTGCGTCTTTCGTGAGAACATGCTCGTGGTAGAAACCCACCTTCTGTGAATCAAGTTATTGGAACAAGGAAATGAAGGGAGTCGTCTGTTTCCTGCACGTGCCCAAGCAAGGGCCAATGGCTTATCCAGTTGGTGAATATCTTTGCAAATCGTAATTATTTCAAAACTAAAAATTGTTTTGATAGTACAGTTTAACACTAAAAAAATTAAGGGTATTTGTCTCATATTTATTATCATGACCATCATCATCCTCATTATCATCATTAGAATCGTCATCAAAAATCGCTTACCATGACAAGAATGTTGTGAGTACATTATCACATAACAGCAGAATAACAGATGAAATTAGTGGTGGTGGTTACTTATTGGCCATGCCGATTGAGATTAGCAGAATTGCATGATCATTGCAGGTTTTGCGAATTGTCGGAAAAGCCGTAGGACTAGGCTATAGAAAAAAGTAAGATGATGAAAGTTGGAAATATACTGTCTGTCCAGAGAGCTCTCATCTGTCCAAGATAAATATCCTCATTTTGATATTGACTAAAGGAGAATGTGATTCCACTCCACACCTCAAACCATACCAACATCCGCAGTCCAGAATTGAATGAATTATCGAGGGGGCGTTTATTCAAATGGGGCGCTTAAGGAAATGTTCACGTTACGGTGCTTATTCGAGAGGGGCGCTTATTCAAACGGGCGCTTATTCGCGCGAGTACAGGTAATTAGTGTACATATTCTTATCATTACCATTACATGGCAGTCGGAACCGCACCGGCCGCACCTACTTTGGCCGGACCACTTTTTCTCAATTGATATTATTTTTTAATAAATATATACGGATACCTATTAATTATATGAATTTATTATATATTTAAAGAAAATTTACCATGCGCTTGTTTTTGTTGAGAATTTTTAATTTAATAATAAAGATTGATTTTGAAAATGTTTAGAGGTATAAATATTAAAATAACTACTAACTATTCATACAATTCTGGGAGTTGGAGTCGGCTCTTTCCCCTTGATTGCAGTTTGGGCTCACTTCACTTCAGTACTCAAACCATGCCACCACCATAATATAAAGTAGGCCTATGTCATTATCATAGTCATCAACATTATCATCATTATCATCATCATCATCATCATCATCGTTATCGCCGTCATCATCGTCATCGTTATCATCGTCCTCTCATCATCACCTTTAACATAATCACCATCATCATCATAATTATTTCATATTTTCTCTGGGCACCTATGTAAACAAAGTTTACTCGGTAGAACACCTGAACACCTGGATTCCTCTAAAACTAACCAGCTTTTCACAAAAAAAAAAAAAATCTATTTGGATCGCCCTTAAATCTTGTGCATATTAGGTAGTCCTATGTCTTTATAATTTGGCTTCTGGTAGATCTGTCCATGGAGGTGTAGGCCTATACATATATGGTCTGTCTGCCATAAATAAACTAAGAATTGACTAAAATTAAAGTGTAATCGGTAGGCCTATATGGTCTATGCAAAAGCAAACACAGCACTTAATTAACTACGTTTAAAGATTCAAGTGATAGTACACCTCATTTAGAGCGTGATAAATTATTTTATTAATGCTTCAGACCTCTCGAAATTCTACTGTATTCATTAATTTGTTGGCCTACTTCCAAAATAAAAATGCATAGCATATTGCATCCTGTGTATTCATAACACATGTTTTATCTATTAGCATGTTCTTTATATTTCACAATACATTGCACATTGTGTAAATTTGTTCACTGTTATTCATTGTATCATTATGTATTCGTGTTCCTTGCATTTTATTAATGGAGGAATAAGCAAGTCAATTTATCTAATGTGACACTGATAAGAAATTGAATTTTGAACAAGTTATCTTTTAGTTCGCAATACATCTACATTGATTGACGAAATGTGATTTGGTCATTAATTTGAGTCATGCTACGGTACTGTGTCCAGATATAACAGTTTAAACCTGGGTGCTATTCTGGGCAAACTCTTTAGCATAATGTAGAGGACATTTTTTTTTGTGAATATGATGCCTAATTTTTTCTTGATTCATACCCTAAGAATAGGATGCCATATAAGGTCATATTCTTTAAAAAAAATCTTCATGGGATAGTCCCTCATGAACATTACACACACACCCTCGCCCGGCGACAGTCAGTTATGGGGATCTCTTCAGTCTGCTGTGAACATAGTAAAAGCATGCTCCGATCAAAATTTGTAGGACTAGGTTCGTGCAAATATACTTCAATATATAATCTTATATTCAGGCTACAAAACTTTAATTTAAAGTAAAGTACATGTGCAGTATATATTGTACTGCGTATTTTTATGACAATAAAGTATTTTTGTATATGTATAATATAATTAGTAATCAATATTCCGGCACCAAAACCTAAAATCTGAAATACCAGAATGTTATCTGACAGGATAATTGTTACCTCAATAAAATAGAAATAAATTGTAAATAATCCCCTGTCATAAACAACATTTTTATTGTCCATTCTAGATAGGGCCTATATAGAGACGGTGTTCAGTGGGGATGGTTTTACTAGGGATCACTTCAGAAAATAAGTTATTTTGTTAACTGTTACGCCACTGTCGTGCCATATTTAAAAAATGGTGCACCTTGCCCCAAACATGGTGGGGGCTGGGGTGGATATGCCCAGATCGCACTAACTTTAAAATCCTGTATCAGTGGATAGGTGTGGCTGGTCAATGTAACAACCAAAGTATTTTGTGCCCAACCCTACCCCGCTGTTACTATATTGGCCTGACCACTTGCAAAATGCTTCCATGGCTATGCCATTGCCATTATCGGGGCCAAGCATTTCGTGTTTTGGGTCGGTCTGGCTTGTGCAAACATTTTTTTGCATTTTATTGTTTTTATTATTGTCTTTGCCTTATTTTTTATCATCATGACCATCATCATCTTCATTATCATCATCAGATTCGTCTCATAATCTGAATCGTCATCATCATCATCATCGTCATCACCATCATCACTATACTAATTGTAGGCCTAATTATTGTAAATATCCATTGTCATTAGTTAAGTAGTTAAAAATCGCCATATTTTGCGAATTAGCGCCCCTCAACTGATCATCGCGTCCCCCACTTCACCTTCGAGGCCCCCCCATCAGCACCCCCAATTCAGGACTTCTAGATATACGCCACTGTTTATGTCTGACGTCATTCTACCTTAGGCCTACCTCTGTTTCTAGAAGCTGCCCGACAATCTCTGCAGCCGAAGATTGCAATACGAACTCTTTAAACTCGGGTATTGTTCTCCAGTTGCCATAGTCGTTGAAATAGTACCCGTCTCCCTGACTTCCAAGGAGGTTCTCCGAATACACGCTAGGATTAGCCTTATTGGTACTTATTCCTATCTTTATCTTCTCAATCCAATCTAATGAGAAAACATCACGAAGACATACACACCCATCTCGCTTGTAAGCGTCGATATCTGACTGCGATACAACAGCCATACTCCCAACCAATCGTTCGGTAAACGCTTTAACAATATTGTGCTCTGTGTGGTATTCATTGTGTTAAGCCTATAATACCACTATTGTGTCAGCGGCGATTATTTCGAAGGTGAAAGGTGAGCAGTGAAATACCGTCAGTAGCTCATTAATCACGTGAAAGGTTCACACTGGAGCAATTTCGAATTTTGAGACAAAACGTAAAAACACACGGCTACAACAGTATTCATAATTAAAGTAAATGCAGAAAATATAGAGTTTCTGTAATTAATTATAGGCCTACACGATGAGACCTCTAGGGGAGACTTCTAAGAATTCTAATAAATTTAGGAACAGGACGATCTTGCTCTAGCCAATTCTGGAAAAGACTTGTAACTTATGGACCAATCAGCTTGCAGCTTTTGTGCTAGGAAAATTGATCGTCTTCGCAATAGACATGACTTTGGACGAGATTTAAAGGCGCCATTAAAAATAGAACAATTAATCATTACTGTAAAAAACAGTTAGTTTAATCATCTGTAGGCCTGCCTGCAACAGTGTTGATGATGTTAAGAAACATAACAAGATAATTGATTATGATCTGCAAAAACCCGTTTCGTAGAGGAGCCAGCATAGGTGTCGATATTTAAAGGCAAGTGAGCTACACTGAAATCAGGAGTATAGGAAAAGTCAACCTCAATCAGTATTGGAAAAACAGATCTTATTACAAGCCTGGGTGACTTTTATTCTCATTCACATAGTTATTCAATAATAAACTTAATTTATTCGGAAAATTGGCAAATACATCATACATTTTTATCGCCAAAGATACGCGCAGCGACCGTATCAGCCGGGGGTCCGCAAAATGTGAAAATCTATTACGAAGAAATAATCTTTAGTTTTCAGTCGAAATCTATGTTCATTCTATGTCTAGTTTTACACGTAAGTAATTAAATTACGAATGTAACATTGAGATTTAGTACTTTATTTATCAGCAACTTTATCACAATTCTTTTTACAAGAAACAGACCTCAAACAATATATTGAAATAAATAAGTTATATGTATGATATTAATAATATAGTTGGTATATAATATAGGTTTTATTTATTGATCTCTGGTTTCTTGTAGAGGTTTGAGCCTGGAGCGGATGGTCTGGCATTTAAGAAATCAGCGAAATATACATATTTCAAAGATAGCTGTTTTTATTACTTCTCTTTGTACCGAAGAAAAATATAAACATGTATACATTATTAATGTAAGCAATATGCCTATGTCTATAAATATGGTGCTAGACAAACATCAATCGTCATTCATTTTTGTTTCATAATTCAGAAAATATTTACTTAAATTAATCATCATCTATGACCTCCATCCACTGTTCCAGTAGGTTTGGGTTCACGATCACTTCTATCATGAGCAGATCTGATGCGATATTATAATAAGAGTTTTTTTTTTTAAATAGCAGTATTTTAAACGTGACGACACTGGGCCATGCATAACTTACGGTATTTGAGATAATAAATACCACAATTAATTTTTCAAAGGGTAATGAAAGCCAGTATATATTTGTCTAATCGACTTAAGCTATGCCCCGAGACTATAGTTAAGCAATCCCGACGTCTATTTTTCAATTAATTAATTAATTCTATATATTATATAATGGTCGAATAGTAATTAATATTAATTTACCAGCAATTAATTCTGTACATAACATTTATCATGTTTTCTATGCGCTATTTCATCAGCTGCTTTAATTTAAATCAATGTTATGAATCTATTATTATATTATTATTATTATTATTATTTCAACGCGAGGTATAGGGCCTACTTGTTTTTTGGTTTTTTTGGTTTTTTTTTTTGGCTGCATGCATAATATTATGTATTTTTCATAATATTAATATTAATAATAATAATAATATGAATAACCTGAGCAAAGTTTATATAGCGATCTGAAATCAGTAATCATGAAACGCACACAAGGCACACTAGTTCCAATGCTATCTATCTAGCTTCCAAAATAATATCGTATGATCGCAGGTCTATAGTGCAGTTTTAATTTATACATAATAATAAGGCAGTGCTGTTATTTATTTATTATACTGAACTGGTTTACATTACCATAAGTACAATCAATTTAAATAATAGGTATGACGTAATAATGTATTTTACTATAATTATATGCGGAAATTGGTGCCGCAGTAGTTAAATTCCATGTTTTGAACTGACTCGCACATAGCTAGCTCATAATATATTTTAAATACCATTATATTTGAAAAACACTAAATTCAACTCTAAAAAATAGCTTTCCCATAATTACGAACATTCTGTTAGGTACATCGCGTGACCCTCAGTTTAGTCAACAGCTAAACACGTGACAACAATCATCCAATGATTTTAGAGTAGCTCTTTCCATATTTACATAATTTCGGGAAATTTCAAGTTAGCTGGTCTAAAGTTTTTAGTATACAGATTTATTCAACAATAAAGCTTTGTCCCAGATTTTTGAAATTCCCTGACAGATCAGAAATCTTTCCATTGTTAAAATATGACCAAGAGGTTAGACAATACAATATATACAAATATCACAGAATCCGAATGGTATCGGTTTTTTTTAAACCAATACCTTATTATGTCAAGAATTCAGCAGAACTTTAAGCATTTAGAAAAACCTCTCAACGAAATGCTATACAAATGAAGCGTTGCGGTCCTCGTGGAACACACGAGACACTATTTTAAGTGTCTCCACGCGTCTTCATGCCTCTTCATGCGTTTCGTGTGTCTTGATATTAATATCCGTTTCTTCAACGTTTCAAATGTAATGCAGTTGTAGAAATCTACGTTTTCCTCGGGATATCTAATTTACGGGGAAAAAAGAAAATGAGTAGTCTGACATGCGGTCATTATCAGTGTAATGTTTACAGCATCTAGTTAAATTTATATACAGTACTGTATCGTAAATTTGCAAAATGTACAGAAATTTAATTTAAATGTTGAACAAAAATGATTAAAATGATCAAATTAGTAATCAACACGGATTGAAACAGGAGTCAGTGTTAAAAAACTTTTAAATTGATAACCAGTTCAAAAATTCTAAAAGAACCGAATTATTATGTTTTATATTAAATCTAATAACTCACATAATAAAAGGATTTAAATAGCCCTATTGAATATAACTTTTTAAGCTATTAGCGTTAACAACAATATATTCTGAAAACAAATAGGCTAACTACGGTTCTTACCTATATTTAAATTGCCAAGGGCAGTACCATTTCAGCGGATATGTCGCTTACTGATCGTTTGCCTCTGTTGTCACTGGAACACCCCTGACTGCAGCGAGAGAACCTATCGGTAGGGTCACATATTAACACCCGGCAGCTCAGGAAAACCTAACAGAAAATAATAAATAAATCACGATATAATAATACAAGCCTTGCAGTGACGGACTTCCCAGCAAACACAAAACGTTCCTATAACGTTCGCGAAAGTTGTGGTTTGGTATGTCACAAAATAACGTTCACACAACGTTGTAAGAACGTTCAAACATTATTATAACGTTTTTAAAACGTAATATTTTTAGCTGGGTTATTAGTATTTTAAAAATGTTATCAGGTAAACGTAAATGTAAACGCACGAACAGTATAAAATACGGAGTAATCAAATAACAACATCACTGTGTCATTGGTCATTGTCAGTGGCGGATCCAGGAATTTAAATTATAGGGGCCCAGGGCCACTGATTGTATTCTGTCATAAATATTGATGCACGTTGATTGATTGATTGATTGATTGATTGATTGGTCTGTTGGCCGGCTGGTTGATTATCTGAACGATTGATTGATTAAAATATAATATTAATGAATAGTATAATGACTTTAAAGCAATTCTAATCCAAATTCTGATCCAACAAAATGTGAAAGTTTTGGTAACACAGAACTTTACCCAATATCATCGGTACATGATTTTTTTTTACTTCTTTTAATAAAATCTATACAATTTCGATTGTAATTATTCTAGAAATCTTACCTCTCCATGTAGACCATGGAACATGAAAGAGAAGGATTCAATAGAAAATCGCTGTTCAGAGATCGAGGGAGTATACTCTACTCTCATAGTGCTGTCAATTAGACATCTGGAAAAGGTAAACACAAAACCCATTGATTCTATGTATCAGAATACGAAGAGTTAAGTTAATTCACATGATAATAATTATAATGATTGACGATGCTTATGATGATAATGACGATGTTCATGACGATGTCGATGACAATGACAGTGATGGTGACGATGATGACAATGACGACGATGATGACGATTGTGGTAGTGACGTGGTGAAGATGATAATAATAATACTATAATGGCAAAAAATTACAATAAATTGTAATAAATTATTTGATATATTTTAATAACGCGTACCCGTCTTTTACAAACTCGTAAAGCTGATTGGCTCTGCTTCCGGGAACTGACGTAGGAGTAGCCTTACAGCTTTCGATGAGGATCCTCTTCGAAGTGTCTCTGGCTTTAGCAGAAAAGTACATTCTTTGGCGCATTTGTACTAGCGCAGGGTACTCGTTGAGACTCACGCGTCGTCTGTAGTCCGCAGATTCGAACATCTGGAAGGTAAAGTTGCTTCGGCCTTCACTCTTTGCTACGTATGTCTTTTTTGCCATCTTGGGTAAGAAATGCCCATGGGTTAAGCCTTCACTCTCCATCTCACAGATTACTTTAATTTCAAGATGTCGTAAATCTCGCGAAATCTTGCTAGCACCTTTCTCTGATCTGGGGCGGTCACGAATTGTGTTTCGGTAGAGTGCGATGTTATCCGATTTTGCCTGAAAAAATTAATACATACCATCCAAAATAATTTTTAATCTTCAAATGTCGATTCAAAGATAAATATTTGCCATGAATGATGTATAGGTCAGCCATTATGATGACAGAATGATTACTGTATCTAGGCCTGTTCGCTCAACACCATTCTCTCACTTTGTTTTACTGTTTATTTGTTTTACTGTTTGTTTCACTGTTCCTTGGTTTTACTCTAGTATTGGAATAATAACCCGATCATACAATATAATAACACATTCTTACAAAAATAATAGTGCTCTAAATTTTTAGTGAAATGAAGGGAAGTTCATTTGTGGTGGCCTATAGGCGAATAGAATGGCCGAGCGGTAATGCAGGGGCGCCGCTAGCTAAAGCCTTAACATCGGCGCTGGTTCCAGCCGCTCCTCACCCATTGGTTCGTTTGGTAGAATAAGGACTTAAAATGGAGGTCCAGTATATATATCTGGCACTTTAAAGAACCCATTGCATCGTTCGGAAGAGTATGGGGTTACCCCGATGTTATGGTTTATTTCAGCCCCTGTCGTTTTGAATTGATGTAAACATGTAGCTACCATGAAGCGCATCTTTGCGGCTGCTAGGTACTATAGTCACGGACCACGCCCATACGCAATTCAGCACAATGACGCTGCAAGTTATGGGTTAATCTCCTACCTTTACATTTACCTATACCTATCTACGTATACATTTTTGTAAAAAAAAACCAAAAAAACTAAAGACTCCTCCTTCCGATCGAATAAACGCCCTTCAAAAAGATGTGTAAGCCTATTCATAAATTATTATTTGACATAGTTATTAGAACGCACCCGAATAACTGTTCCGCATTCGTTGTAGCCAGTTTGTAAAATCACATGGGTTTCGTTCAGATCTCTTCCTCGACAGACAGGGTCGTGGAGATGCAGACGACGTGAACTGACGTCGCGAAGGATGCTTCGGTGGATATAAACTGTCATGTGAGAATCATGGCATTCAACTACGGGTTCACGCGGAATGAGTGACGAATCTATAAATAGTGAAAACAAATGTTAACTATGCTTGCTTTAAAAGATAATATAAATACCTAAATTCGTTGAAACACCTTCAACCGAATAGTTTGCAACATTAAACCTGATTTAGCCTTACAAAGTGTTAAACCTTGTATTCATCCAAGAAAATACAAGCTCATTGATAAGAAGACGGCTATACAGGCTTAATCTCGATCAATATAAAGTGCTGTAGACATTGTACTATATTAAAAAACCTACGATAAGTAGACAGACGGAATGGGAGAGGAATAGAAAGATAAGATTTTCCGTTGAATTTCGGGAATCACACCCAAACCTCACCAGAGAAATATATATTCGTGAAATTCTACTTTGAAAGTACCGGTACGTTAAACAATTTATTATTGTTAAGTAAATATCTGAATGTCTTAACATTCCTTATGACTCACTTGTACGGAACATCCAACCGCTCTGTTGTGTGTCCGTCCTAGCTGCGCAAGGATCTGGGTTCTGGACGCGTGCAATACCAGGATCGACTGAGATCATGTGCATGGTATTGTCCTTTAGGAGAAGTCCTGGGGTCTTGAACGAGAGGGACGTCTCATTAAACCTCACTTCATTTGATGCTGCATCGACCCTATAGATTGGTGGTACAGGCTTTGTTGGGTCAACAAGTTCAATGAACGTTGGTGTTGATGGTCTTTTAATCTAGAAAGATAATTGATTTATTCATAAAACTTTGTAGTTTATTTAAAACGACACTGTTATCAACTTTTATATCTATAACCAGGTACAAACACAATATTTTTGTAAGGATTACAAGTATTCTTCTTCAACCTAATTATCTTCACGATGTGACAAAACTAACATTAACCCAAGGCAAGGAACTATGATCAATGACATGTTCAAGAAATAAAATGTGGGAAATGAATTTGAGCAGAACACATAATAATGAGAGAATAAATGAACACGTTGAGTCAGAGAGAGGACACCGCGTTCAAAGAGGAAACAGAAAAAGGCTACCCAGCTATGGCAAGATTACATTAGGAAGTTCAGTGGCAAGGACAGGAAACAGCGGACGCAGGAGAACACAGTGGAACACTGATATGTTGAAGAGGCCTACATCCAGCAGTGGATCGAAACAGGCTAACAAGTAACAATATTCTTCATAAAGTTAAGTCCTTACCGGCTTATCAAAACTGATAACCCATTCGTCGTTTTCAGGAATAACATGTTGCAATGGTGATGGAAATGATTTTTTTGGTACGATCTTCGGAGGCTGTGGAGCAATCCGACTTGCCGGGGAACCTGTAATTACATCCATAGTTTTAGTTAATTTGTTACCAACAACAATGACTTTTGATGTAATAGAAGAAAGCGTACCTTATTTTAAACTTTAATAATTATGGCCTAAAACTCGTTTAATATCTCATAATTGTTAAAAAGATAGTTACACATAATTTATATTTTGATCAATGATCCTGTAACAATCAATCTTAGGCACCTCTGGTCACTTGTAACTCTACAATATAGAATACAGAATTTAATATTGATAATATAAATATGAATTTACGACTTTTTATTACTAATAGATGTAACATTACACAAACCATAACATCCTTCATCCAATTAATATGTTTCAAAGAGTTTTAAAAAAATCTATTGATATCTATAGATTATCTCATAGACATTGTACGTCATGTGATCACTTACCCGTATGTATCTCTTGCGTACATGCAGACAAAATGGACACCAGCTTCACGAGGAATCCACTGTAGGGTAACCACATAGTCGTTCTTTGAGCGGTTTACTCGCTTCACTGGTGTTTTCGTCATTCCGGCTGGTGAAACAGTTCCAATCTCAACAATTCTGTTAGAAAATAGACATTTATATATAATTTTTATATGCATTAAAAAAATAGTTTTGTTGAACAATTTAATAGGTTGATTATTTATTCTTTTATTTATCCTAATTGCAAAACAAAATATGAATAAGTTACAAACACTCCAGGACATGGCTCGAAATACCAGGCCAACGCAGGATAACATGTCAGTGAAATAATGATACATAAACGCTGAGACACTATATACATAAACTGATTGGTAACTTAAAACTTTGTAATTCTGCACAGTGCCTTCGAAAGCGGAATTGAGATTACATGATGCTGACATGACAATATGGTATGTTTCCTCAAGGCTTATTTTTGAAATTATTTAAACTGTTTCATCGACTTACCCAACACCCCGACGACCACTTCGCGCCTTGACGTCAATACTCCACGGTCTGTTAGGCTTCAAGTAAAAGCAGGTGCCCGGAGGCTCAAAGATTTCAGGTTGGCGACATGGTTCATCTGAAAAATGGCCCATATTTATTGTTTACGTTTAGATCACAAGTAAACATACAAATTAGTAATCATATATTGTCCCAACAAATACGAAACTTTATTATAACAAATGTTGTGATCGTAGTTTGGTTATGTCAGAAAATAACCTTAAGACACTGTTGCAGTAACATCCGCAACGTTATTTTGTCAGAAATTACGTTATAGAAACGTACTTATGGTTCCACATAAACGTAACTATGACGTAAAATTGTTAGCTGGGATGTTTTTCATATCTGTCTGGCTGGAAATAGCAGTTTTATTATGAAAAACTTCAAAGAAATCGAATACCCACCGAGAGGAAACACTTTGATGAGGAATTGTAGGGGAATGGTACTTAAAGCCTTGGTTGAAGATGGGGTTGCAAAATCCTCAATCATCATGGACACAGCGTACCAACCAGCCTCGGCTGTCGATGGGAAGGAAATTTCACACTCATCCTGCAAAACACACAAACTTGTTACTAGTTCAATGAGAACTGTTTAATAGCTTCTCACACCTTACTGAAACCTTTCTGAAACCTTTCTTTTTGACATAAACAGACAAACGCTAATAGATCCATCGTAACTTACAGCATCTAGGGTGCTTCCTTCGGTGAGACGACCGCAAACAGAATGATCAAACTGAGTAGGTGGGCATTCGTTTTTATGTGGACTTGTCCATCTGCACCTGACGGTGTCCCTGTCTGGATCATTCACTGTGGAAAAAATAGAATTTAATTTTGTTTGAAAGGAAATGCAGTAAGTACGGTAAGGTTAACTAACTGTTTAAATTGCTTCAATGTGTGTGACACATTAAAGAGAGCTGCACAATGTTGAATCACAGTTTAGGGCAGCATCCTTCACAGGTTTTCTTATCTTTGTTGTTTAATTAATTATTTGTTTCAAAATTATTCTGCTAGCTTTTAACTAATTCGCTAACAACTACCTTAACTGGACAATATTGAAGTACAGAAAATGAAAAAGAAGCAAAATAATAATAAATAATAATAATTAAAAAAAATAAATAAATAATAATAATAATAATAAAATAAAATAATATGCACAAAATATGCATCATAACCAATCATAAATTGAGTGGTCAAGGAAAGGGTGAGTAGACATACAACTGTAAATGAAGCGTTGTTTGGCGATTATTATATTATTGTTGGAGGCTTTTATGGTGTTAATTCGACAGAGGCGTTTATTCGAGAGATGCTCTGTTTTTAAATCATTAGAGTTCTAAAATAATTATACTTGTTGCAACATTGGTATTATTGATCTAATGCTGTTTAATAGTTTTAATATTTACTGACAATTAAGCGCCACGTCATTTATTCAAATAGTAGTAGGCCTACATTTTAGGAACGGCGCTTAGCAAAAGAAAAAAAAAATCACCTTAGCGCGGTGCTTGATCTGGAGATCGCAACTTGGCGTTATGAGAAAATGCTAAGTTTATAATATTTTGCACCTTGTGCGACCTACCTGGGATTCTGATTTTGCTAGAGCAGCCTTGTTGCACCCTGATGATGGGGATAACAGTGGTGTATGGTGACGCGTTAGGTAGTCGCGTATCGGGTCGAGGTCGGAGATCAATTGTTGAAATCATATTCCAATAGTTGGCATCGCCATAGTTTTGTAAATAAATCCAGTAACTGGTGGACTCCTCCTCGTACCTAAATAATAATAATAACAATAATAATAATTTTATTTACAGAGGTCTATTATCGAAGAATGACAAGTATACATATTCATAAATTATAATCCACTATGTTAGCGCAAAATATAGTTGTATGAGAGAAGGTATCTGGGTGATAGATCTGTGTTTCTGTGGTATAGTGGTATGGTACTCGCCTTGATAGCGAGAGGTTGGATGCTCAAATCATGCCAGTGACACTTTTTACAGGCAACTGAAAAAGGAAGAGCTATGCTTGATACGTGCCTATATATTTAGACTTTTGTATCTATTCATGTATGTACAGGCTTATACACCTGTCTCTTATACACATCTAGATGTGTATAGTATACATATATATATATTCTTATATAAATATATGTTGTTATACGTAAAGATACTTTAAACCGTCTTGTGGTAGTGCTTTATGTGTATATAAATTGTAAAGTATGTAGGTAGTGTTGGGAAAAGATGTATATTACCTGATAGTAAAGACCTCCCTATCAGGGGTGTACAGGAAGGATCCGACACCAGTGCTCCAGTCTTCACTACTGTGATCGCTGAAATCTGTGCAATTGAAATCAAGCTGTCTGTAGATTCGACGGCGACACTCAACGCACAAAATATCGCCCTCACCACCCAAATGCTGTCCAGGATATTCACACCAGAAGTCATTACGAGGTGCGTATGATCGCCTCCATGATACACGCCATGAAATTTCAATCTAAAATAAAAATTAAAAAGCATGAATCTTCAAATTGATTCAATTTTTTATCTGCTTATTTGAGCGATAATAATTATCTAGCTCAAGTATGACACTTCTGTTAAAATCGTTTTTGAGAGTTTCATGGCTTAACGTAAAGTATTGCTTCCAAGCATGACGGAGTCCATACACCGCTGATAATCAAGCGCGTTATTCTGTGTGGTCATGTCAGCAAGTTTAAAGTATCATAATGCTACCAGAGACTCGATCTCTAGTCCCCATGATTGGCAGTCCTGCCAACTGCATACACACTCTAGGTCAGTGCTGACAATCTATATCAACAGTTTTACGCCAGGCTTGTTGCGTGATCGTGTCTTTATCATATTTTTTCAATAATTAACTATGCTATTGTTTAGAATTCCTCAAAACAAACCTTAGTCTAAATCTTATATTTAGTGGTGTATTGTCAGTTTTGTTTTGTCGTAGGCTAATTTGTTAAGGCAGTTAACAAAAAACTATAAAAACGGTATAACTGGTGGCCTTCAGATGTATTAAACTGATTGAATTTTACAGGCAAAGATATTTTGAAATTTGTGCTCTTTAATTAATTTACAGAGACTATAAACTAAAAACAGATTCACAATTGGGCCTGATCATGGTAGGATTATTAATTTAGAAATGTATATGAAACAAATCAATTGTGAAATCAACCTGTAATTAACAACAACATATATCACAGAGACTTTCCAAGAAATATAAAGCCACAAAAACCAAATCGAAACTATCTGATGTTAAATTTAAATGGTGCGCAATGTTTACGGCACGACAGGAATTCAACATTTTATTAGTTAATACTTCATAATATGGAAATGGTAAATGGAATGTAATGGCCCCTTGAAGTGGGGCCTAAGCCACATTCATTTTGAAATATGATAATAATTCCTGCTGTTAGCTAAGTTACTGTCAACAGGCGCCCATGAACTCTCGCATGCGATACACAAAACTTTCTATCAAAAATATCCTCAAACAGGACGCCCTCTTTCATAGCCTAAAGTAAAATTCCATTATAAATTCTAATTTACAGTTAACCTTAATCTTTTTTCTGATAAAAAATACAAGAGTATCAAAAACCACAAAACTATTGTAAGAACTGGTTCAAATTGTCGCGTCTAATATAACCATAACTTAAATGTCACTTAGAGCAATAACTTTTCAATTTCACTTGTTATATTCTCCAGCCATGTTTAACAACAGCGACCTTTCACCAGATCTGCGCGTTCCTCCATTCTTAAATACGGTACAGGCGCACGTTATATATTGGGTGTTTTGGAAGTGCTAATAAGATATAAATTTTTAAATAATTAGAATGTTTATTTGTACAAAAAAAACCCCCAAAAAACAAACAAAACAACGTTATTTAGAATGATCATTTGTACAAAATAAAAATAAATAAATAAATTGGAAAAAATGAATAAATACCAAGACGCGTTTTACACAGGACACCCTGCGTAAATGGAATTCATTTCTTTGTTCGTTGTTTATTTGCTAAATAGTATTAGCATCACCATTAATCGGCATTTATAAAATAAAAACGAATAACCAGCTAATATGACTGCTCCCTGGAATAACTAAGTCCACATTTATCCTAGTTATATTTATTTGTTTTTAACTAAAAATGACACACTCATTTAACTCGTTTACATGTTTTTCATTTTGGTCTAGAGATAATGATCTATATATTTAAATTTAAGAGATGATTTATGAGACAAAAATGTTTGCAGTAAAAATAAAAGTTGCAAAGACATATTTTAGGATAGAAGGTAGTAATTTAGAGGTTCGTTTGAAAGATGCAATGATTGCGAATACTTGATATTTACAGGAAGTGTTTTCATCCTGTAAGTTTAAATGACGAATTAATTTTGTTATGATATTAATTACAAATAATAAGAATACCGCAATACCATTGGCTAAAACGACTATCTTTATTTTCACAAACAATCCCTAAAATGTCGAAGGCGTACTGGTATCATTCGATGAAATTTTGTTAGTCAATTACGGAAAATAATTAAGTTAATTTTAATTTTGATTAAGAATAAAAATAATTGAAGTATGGACGGAGTATCGAATGCAAAGTGTTCAAAAATTAAATTTTGCCAACCACCAATGCACTAAAGTGTGCTCAACAGATAGTTACAAAAATAGAAGCGCGGTGTGAAGTTCATCTAATACAGGTAACTGCATGCATTTGTAGATATGTTCAGATGATTACTGATAACGCATCGGTATCCTTTAAACCTAGCAAGTGCCCAAGCGTAGCGAAATTAAATTAATAAATATATGATTTGTTAGGTGAGACTTAAGGAGCGAGTAGACTCGGTTGCGATGGAGTTTTCGTCTTTGGCAGTCAGGTAGAATTATTATATCACGTTGGCTCACCTGCTTTTGAAGCCTCAACGCAGGGGAGGAAATATGATACCAAACATCTTTACGAGGAAACGTAGAGAGCATTTATTAGTTGAACCTTTAAAGGCTATTTTTTGCTTTTTAGAAATTGTTTAGATATCTTTCAATAAAATTTCATTAAAACGTAGTACATTAATTATTTTAAGAACTCTTTTTCACACGTTTCCTCTTAAACAATTATGTATACCAATATTTCGATAAATACATTTTAATATGTTGTAGATTAGGCAGGATCTGCACGTGCTCAGCAATCAATATATTAATAATTCCAACCTTAATATTATTGATAATGGCGTAATAGGATTACTCTGTAGGATCACTGTAGAATTAACGCAGTATGGCGACATATTGTCAGAATATATATTTATTTTATTATAGTAAAATCTGATAGTGGAAATATAAATTGCCATTAGAAAATTAGGACTAAATTTCTCACATTTAATTTCTATGCCCATTAATCTAAGGTGCATTAAGTGGTTTTTGTAGTACCGATTGGTGACTTGATAAATTTGTTCAAACATTTGGAATGCCACAATCACAAACTTATAATCATTCGAACAAAATGGAACATCATCTGGATCCAAATCAACCTATGGAACTTAACTTATCTGTCTAGCAGATCTCTAATTGCCTAATCCATTTTGCTTGATGTTGACTAATACAAACTAAGATAGATCTCTGCGCCTTAAGCAAAAGAAAGTTGAACCGTGGGTGTATTATAACTGAAAGAGCTAGAAATCCCACAAGAGGCGCCCTATCACATATTTTCCGTTATTAAAGTATGAATATTCATGAACGTTGAGATGTTGAGACGTTTCACCTGCCATTGGAAACGATTTGTAAATAGTTGAGGTATGTTTTGCATATCAGAAAGTTGTAGGCATAAAGTAGTGGGATGAGAATAAATATTGAAAATGCCAAAATCGAGAAATGGAAGAAAATTAATATTAATTTAAGGGAGAGAACTACCGCAGATAAAGTATGATATTCGTTAAATCACGGTTGGAAACGAACTCATTTTTGTCAGAAGCGGAAAGTAACAGTTAAAATGAATTATTGTTTCAATTTAAGATATAATCATTATCCCAGCGAATCCACAAAAATATAGACTGACGTTTAATTCAATAATATACAACATATGTACGGTATTCACCCCTTGTTGCCACGACGCAAATTCTAATGATCATAGTGATTAAATACGAGGTTTGTTGTCGACGACAAAAGGTCATATTTCTATCTTTTCAATTGACAATGACAATTTTTATTGTCATTCAAATTAAAATAACAATGTATTGTTTAAAAAAAGTTGACATGAGCAGAAAACGTTACTAACTTTAGTTGTGTGCACGAGATAAGCTCACATTATAGAAATGATGTATGCAGCTTGATCGAAATCATCTTCAGTAATCAATCAATCAATAACAATCTTGATTTATTTACGAAATATGAATACAAATATACATTCAATACTCATTTACTATTGGAGTTTTTCCACGAGTTCGTGATATAATTATATTTTAATATATAAGCAATTTCGTTTATACATAAAAATGTTGATAAATAGGCCTATATTGAAATTAAATAACCCATATTAACATTTAGTATATACCTTAAGCATATATACAAAATAATTACTCCATGGGTTGATTCTCACTGAAACTTAATGATACATTTTATTAATAATAATCCTCATCAATTATCATCATCCTCGTTATCATCATCATCATCATCATCATCATCATCATCATCTCAGAATCACAATCACCTTCCTCATGCCAATCAATCATCTACATAATACTAATTAATGCTTGTAAATGTACCAACAATAACAGCAGCATTAACCGTTACCTGCCCTTGTGTCAATGATGGGCGCCATCTGAAAGTTCCCCCTCGAAAATGCGTTGCTTGAGAAACGCAGACAACGGCAAGGAAAAGTACTACTGTCCTTAGCCCTATCATCTTCTCAATCTAATTTGAAAGAAGCAAATATATAAAGTTTGACAAGCCTTTTAAAAATAGGAATTGAAATAAATATGAACCGTGAGTCCACTAAGACTGTTTGTTTTTTATTGTTACAATTAAAATTACATGTTTACTGTTGAATTCGAACAATATATATCTTAATTTTGATTGGTGCCCTTATCATTCATAATATATTCTAATTTAAATAACAAGTACAGTTACAGAATGGCAGATTGTGAAGCTCTATAAAGTTTACCATATTTTTTAGGCTAACGGTATGAAGTAGCATATTGGTAAAATTAAGCCTTAAGCTATTTGAATGTGAAGGCAAATATTCTAAACACAAATATTCATGTCTACTACAATTTAAGACAGTTCAAGTTAGTCAGAAACATATTAAAACATCTACATAATAAGATACAACTATAAAACTGGTAAGTCTAAATGTTGGAACGTATAAGCTAACAAACTGAAACACTTTTACAAATAACTGATGGTTTATGGGCCGTATTATACAATATAAATTAAACAATATTTCAAGGCAAGGTTAATTTCGAATAATTTTTACTTTATTTCTAATAATCTTTATATCCACTTAGGTTTTCAAATTTATTGACAGACTTCTGACAAAAGACAGTTTGTAGTGCACACGTATAGATCCAGCAGCGAGGCAACGAAGAAAACGACACGTTATGTCAAGTTTGTTATGCATTTCTCCGTTTGAGACGAATACCATGGTGTGAAATTTTATAAAGTTCTATTCAATAGCACAAAACATGACAAGTCAATTATAAGAAACAACAGCAATCCGTTAAAAAATAAATGAATAGTTAAATTTAAGAACGTTTCATGGAAAATGACAGACTTTCTGGAAATGTATAATTCAGAAATTATTGAAGTATAGTTTTACAGTTGTAACCAAACTACAAGAAAATACAGTAGGTTTATTTAAATGTATCATATAGTGATGTGACGTTTCATATTCTTTTCACTTATTTTATTCATCTTATGTCAACAGTTTTTTTTTATATAGGATTATATATAATATATATATAGGCCTATATAATTATATATAGGCCCCTATATATACACAATATTATGTTAAAGATATAGGAACTGAGATGCAGACACACTTTCTAAACTAACATTGCATTTTATTGGAATAACTTGGTCTGTTGAAAGATTTTGAAATTATTTATGCAAACAATTTACTGTGTTACTAAATTATTTTGGTTCAACTACCAGAATTCTTAAAACCGTTTTAACTTTCTGCCATGCTTAACCAGAAATATCCGCTTTTAACCAAGTTTCCATATTTGTTTACTTACTTAAATTTCAGATTGGAAAACAATGTAATTGTACTTACTCTATTAAAAATAGGCACTGCAGACCATAAAATAATGTTCTATCCAACTTTCTCGCACGGTTTTATTGCTCAGCCTCCAATATTACAACTCAACTAATTTAAAAGAAACAGAATATTTCTGAATATTGTGTCCGTGTTCACCAGTTGTCTTCTAATCAATATCGAAGCAAAAAACGAAGTGCTTATATACTCACATGATATTTCATGACGTAACAAGGGCCTGCTGAGTGTAAAGCAGCCTGAAATTAGGCGTAGCATTGGTAGGGTAGCACTTTCGCCTAGTTGATGGTTAACTGAGTTTTCTGACACAGTCATCTCACAGCAGGTGGGTGTATTCACTTGCAAATATTTGGAAGCTGTAACGTCTGAGTTGGCGTATGTATTGTGTTGTGGTTGTCATTTTGCCGTAGACTATTATTTAAATATTCTGAATAATCAATCAGGATTCTAAAAAAGAATAAGAAAACAATCAATTATTAGTAATATGCTGACAGTTACATTACCTTAAGTTTAATTCGTGAAATGAATTCATTGGCCAAGCACTGACTAAATGTTAGACATAAGTGACTTCAGAACTATTTATTAGAAAAACGTTTTTGTGAATGATTCTTGAATGGTATGGTATTTTATTATGACGATACCGCTTATGGTACTATTATGGTATTGAATAAAAAATTATTCAATACCAATATGCAATATTTTAAATTTAGTGCAACAATAAATTGCTACGTAGAGCCTATTTTCGTTGGGTAGCGGTAACACATCGACAATTTTGATGAGAGGCCATTCGACGACGGGGTGAGTTTGCTACCTACAACAACTACTGACAACAATTCAACACAACAGTAAAAGCTGTGTTCTAAAGAAAAAATTGTTCATAAGTTATTTCTTTAGTAGACTTATTTCAAAAAAACTTTCTGAACTTTGAACATACTCTGTTGATGTATATCGATACTTGGTATGGCATAATACTACTAGACAAGTCGTATTACAAAACAATATAATCACCACCAGCAACAACCGGATTTAAACTTTCGTTGGGTAGCTTTAACACATCGACAATTTTGACGACGGGGTGAGTTTGCACTTGACGATGGGATGTGTTTGTCTCTCGTGTCAAGTCTGCATAACACTACTGACAACAATTTAATACAACAGTAAAAGCTGTGTTCTAAAGAAAAAAATGTTCATAAGTTATTTCTTTAGTATGCTTATTTCTAAAAAACTTTCTGAACTTTGAACATAATCTGTTGATGTATATCGATACTTGGTATGGCATAATACTACTAGACAAGTCGCATTACAGAACAATATAATCACCACCAGCAACCGGATTTAAACTTACAAAAATAACTTAATTGTTAAATGAGTCAGTGATAAGAAGAACGAACCAAGCCGTGAGGGAACCGGTATCGTGTATCTAGGTGACAAATTCCAACGTTAATCCATAAATTGCTACGTTACAACTTTGATTGGATGATTGCGACTGAAGTGTATATTATATCAAAGCGGTATCGTCATAATAAAATAAAAATCAGAAGAACATTCTAGTATAATGTTCACAGAAGCGTTCTTTTCAACACCATCATTAGGCTCGCAGGAATTCCGTTGCCAGTAACTATTTATATTATTTATTGATTTAATTATATATATATATATATATATATCACTGACTTGATAAAGGGTTACGCCCGAAAGATCTCGTCTATTTTCTTAATAAATTTTGAGGCAAATCTATTACCATCTCTACGAGCTGTCTCTTATACACATCAGATGTGTATAAGAGACAGGAATAACATAAATATAAATTTGTTCATTGCATCCTTTATATAGTTAATTACTATTTCCTATCAACATTATTTATTTGTTTATGTACATTATTTTAAAGGGGGGGGTGCGGGGATGAAACGATTGATTTTTAATTTAAAATAGAGGGATGGGCGACCACAATGACGGTGACGGTACTCGATTTTGGAGCGCGGTATTCGAAAACGAGGCTCGTGAACTGGGTCCCAAAAAAAACTGGTGCTACAGGATTTTGAGCTAGTGTTATAAGATAGGGAATTTCTTACAATGTACCGACTTTCAAAGGCTTGCATTCGGTAACCCCATAAAAAATCGTGTCAAACTTTAGATATTCCAATGTAAATTTGGCCGTTCTTTTCATTTATATGGGTTTTCACTTATGAAAATGTCTCATCTAGATGTGTATAAGAGACAGATAACAGCTCCCTGGGTAATGCTAAATCATTGGATTATACCTTACAGCTAATGTCAACGGTAACGAGACACAGCCAACTGATGAGAATGGTCGTCGCGAGCGGAAAATTGAAAAATTAGGACTGGCGAAAATATTCAATAACAATAATATAATAAGTCGAAGGCATTTTTGAAGAATCAATCTTTTAAAAAGATATGT